GCCAGACAGCGCTGGACCGAGGACGGGTAAGTCTGTTACACCCGGTTTCTCCTTTCCCCTTCATCAGCATGATAATGACATTTTTAAAAGAAAGCTTTTCAGGGCTACCCCCACACTGCAAGGGTTAAGTGCTTGTTTTGTCTGTGGAGCTAAAATAACAAGAGAAATACTGACCTGAACCACAATCCCAGCTGGCGCCTAGACCAGTCTCTTCAGCCTTGCTTCCCCTTCGTTCCAGTGGAATGTCCCTCGGCATCCTCACTTCCTATACACAGTGTATTGCATGTGATGACTCACAGAACCTAAGAACGCTGGAGCAGAGGGGAAGTGAGGCTGTAGGGACCGGTCTAACAGCAGACCAGGATCATGGTTCGGGTGAGTATTTCTCCCTAGGATAGACTAATGAAGTCTATCCTATGACCCCTGGGCTGCTGGTTCCTGTAAAAATTGTGCTTTCACTGATGCCAGATCCTCCTCACAACGCTGAAGTTCTGGCGCTACATGGGTTCCTTCCCTCTCCATTCATAGCACTCCTAGTATTATTTACTTCAAAATGCAAGGCATTGTGTGAATGGAGGAGAGGCGGATCAATGACAGGAACCCCTCCTCTATTCACAGAATCCCTTTTATTCTGTGAAAATACTGGGAGTGTTGTGAATAGGGAGGGGGAGGCGGGGCGAACAGTGCCGATCCTTTCCTGTTCCAGGGCAGTTAACCCTTTTAACACCAGAAGTTCAGTGCTGTGAGAAGAATCCGGCACCAGTAAAGGGAGAACCAGTACCCTGCAGGATATAGCATAGACTTCATTAGAGGTCAGTTGTATTAATTGTGCTCTATGTCCCAAAACATTTTTCACTAAACGTTAGCTATCAATTTGGTTCAGCTGATTGGTCAATATTTTTACTATGTTTTCTCTGTACATTTAGGTCAATGAAGGTTATTGAACTGAAAACACTAATAGAATTGTATTTTTCACTTATGTTGTATGTAGGCAGCTGCATTAGTTCATATCTACAATGATGGCTCAGTATTAGTGTCACACGGAGGCACTGAGATGGGACAAGGTATTCATACCAAAATAACGCAGGTAGACTTTATTTTTCTTCTTCCCTTCTTATTTCTATATTGCTCTACATTGCATAGCATCTACATTCTGATGCCTTGGTACAAGTTTGAAATGATTAATGTTTTAGAAATAACAGTAGAATACACATTATGGCTACACTGTGACTTCAACCAGTTTTTTTCAATCGAATTTGCGGCACACTTGCTGCTGCTGCTGCTGAATATAATAGACTAAACACTAAACAGCAAGTCTGCTCATTTTTTATGGTTCAGCCTGCAAACTGAATGAAAAAAATCTTCTAGTTAATGGCCAACTTTAGACTCTAGACCCTGGTGCCCAACCTGCAGCCCTTTGGCACTTACCATGTGGCCCTTGATGCCCTTGCTTTTGGTTTTATTATTTAGGTGCCAACTCAGGCCAGTGAACAAAAAATATTTTTTAGAATGGGTTCTAATAGGTAAATGGTTTGGTTTATTTCTTTCTCACCCAATTACCTGCTTCTGACAGCTGGGCGGAGCCAGCCGTGATCCTACGGCTGGCTCCAGCCACTTGCAGAGAGATCAGCGTCCCTGGTTACCTGCTAACCAGGGACACTGATCTCCATACAGCTAACTCTCCCTGGCACCCCTGGAGTCTCCTGCTCCCGGCCGCCAAGGGCAGAAACACTGCTGTGTCTTTCTTTTTCTTTATTCTGACATTTCAGATTTCAGAATAGAAAAAAAAAATTCCTATTGGAATGCATTGCTACATTCCTATTGGCTATTTCAATTTGCAATAGCCAATAGCCAATGTACCCGCCCTCTGCTGCAGTTCTCCATCAGGTCCATCAGCAGAGGGCGGGTACAATGCTAGTTTACTATTGGCTATTGCAAATTGAACTAGCCAATAGGAATGTAGCAATGCTTTTCAATGGGAAAATTATTATTTTATTTTTTTTCTATTCTGACATGGCTCCGTGTCAGAATAAAGAAAAAAAAAGATAAATTAGTGTTTCTCTCCTGGGCAGCAGGGAGCGGGAGACTCCCAGAGCACCCGGGAGAGTTTTTTTTCTTCTTTTTTTTTTTTGACGGCAGCAGAGCCGCCGGACAATAGGAAACTATTGGGCGGAGCTAGCTGTCACTGCTAGCTCCGCACAATTGTTTTCTATTTACTTTTTTTTAACTTAACTATTTTTCTGTTCTGCTCGGTCCCTCTGTCACACACAGCACAGTACCTGCAGGATCTCTGTCGGCCTCACACCTCATGTGTCTGGACCTCGGAAGACCCTTCAGTCTCCTAACGGCCACACCTCCATTGTGCCAGACTGACTGCTGGGTAATGCAGTCCTCTGGCCGGCGGCAGCTCTACTGCTCCTCAGTTCGCCACGGGCGGTGTGAGAGAGCTGCGGGTGCATTCGTGGCCGGTCACACTTTACTTCGGCCGTGCCGACCTCCCCCTACAGCCATCCTAGAAGCTACTGGCTGCTGCTAATACAAAATGAATGTAAAGCTCCCGGCCGTTTAATTACAACGGCCGGTCGGGAGGCTACTCGTCCATCTAATACAAAATGAATGTAAAGCTCCCGGCCGTTTAATTACAACGGCCGGTCGGGAAGCTACTCGTCCAGCACTGGTGTCCTCTCGTCACAGACGAGCGGACGAGTGCATTTTTCGAGCCCTGCGAATGCCGCTCAGCGGCATTCGGCTATTCACTCACTGCTGTTCGGTATCCTTAAGAATAGGCCGAACACTTAGAGCGTGGAGATGGCTTTGAAGTTGTTTGATTAACCTGTGACCACAAGTGTTCAAAACATGTCTCTATTCTACTCAATGTATGACGTGAATGTTAGATCTCCACGGAGATTCGGTTGTATTACTGCAAAATTGTGTTTAATATAAAATATTGAACTTAAGAATAGGCTGAACAGCAGTGAGTAGCGTGCCGGAGGTTCGGCTCAGCCGATCCAGATGTTGGATCGGCTGAGTCGAACTCCTTCTGCACTTCGGGTCAGCCGAACATGCTGAGCATGTTCGGCCGACCCGAAGCCATACGAAGCAAGCCGATGTACGGCTGATTTCAGCCGATGTACGGCTGAAATCAGCCGTACCAGCCTGAAGTGAATAGCCGAACAGTGTTCGGCTCACTTCACTTGGGGTCGGTGGTTCACTCGGCTGCCCTCGGCAGCTTAGTGAATAGACCCGTATGTTCACAGTCTCTGACCATCTCCTGTTGCATCTCTACAGACTTTGAAATCTCCTGCAGCATCTCTACAGTCTCTGACCATCTTCTGTTGCATCTCTATAGTCTCTGATAGGGATGCACTGATACCAGTCCAGATACCAGTGCCGATACTTTGCATTTTCATGAGAACTACCAGGGTTGCAGCGGTTGCAGCTGGGGCCTGACTCTGGCGCTCCACCACTGTCCTGAAATCATTAGTCGATATTGTTTTAGAAAAACTGTCACATGACAATAAACAAAAAATGTATCAGTACTCGTACTTGTAAGTACTTGGGCAAGTATCGGTACTCGTACTCGCAAAACTGGTATCGGTGCATCCCTTTATATTTAAAAAAACAAAATCCTACATTATAACAGAGATGAACAAATCCCAGGAGCTCCGTGTGCTCCTTACAAATGACAGCTGCCTCCTAAATTTTTCTCTAGTCTAGTCTTGGAGCTGGAAAAGTATCTGTACTTGTACCGAGTATGGTACTTGGTATCGGTGCATCCCTAGTCTCTGACCATCTTTTGTTGCATGTCTGAGTTTTCTGTTACAGTATAATCACTGAATATTATGTTCAGCCATGTCAGGGACATGTCAGGCTGCACTATGTCAAGAACGGTGATCACTACTGCTCTAGATGGTAATATCATTTGAAAGTAGAAACTGCAAGCAAACAACCATGCTTTCTCTTTTTCACTTTTAAAGTACCAGTGAGCTTGTTCAAAATACAGATCTGTGCAAGATCATACATTAACCACACACAGAGATATAACCTTATATTGTCTTTTCTTGCTAAATGCAGATTGCCAGCCGTGAATTGGGAATACCTGTATCATACATTCACATCTGTGAAACCAGTACCACCTCTGTCCCCAATACTATTGCCACTGCTGCAACTGTTGGGACGGATGTAAATGGGATGGCAGTTAAGGTATTTATTAATAAATGTATAATTGGTTGTTGTATTTAGAAAAATACACATACCGTATATACTCGAGTATAAGCCGTCCCGAATATAAGCCGAGGCACCTAATTTTACCACAAAAAACTGGGAAAAAGTATTGACTCGAATATAAGCCGAGGGTGGGAAATGAGGCAGCTACTGGTAGATAGATACCAATAAAATTACATTAATATTTATTTAAAAGAAAAATAACCTAGCTCTGTAAGTGGAAAAGGGGGTACAGGGCTACATATCATGTACTACGGATCATTTAACCCATTCATGTTAGCAGAGGATCATTGTAAATGTATTGTTGCAGGCACTCTATATGTACATGTACTATATACTACATATAGAGTGCACTGAACAATAGATTTACAATTATCCTCTGCTAATATGAATGGGTTAAATGATCCGTAGTACACTGCATTGTTGATTTAACTAATTCCAAGAATAAACTTAGTAATATTTCTGTAGGTGATTGTGGATGGTGACAACCGAGGTCATCTGGCAGTCTCCGGGTCCTAATTTAGGTGGCCGGAGACTGCCAGATGACCTCGGTTGTCACCATCCACAATCACCTACAGAAATATTACTAAGTTTATTCTTGGAATTAGTTAAATCAACAATGCAGTGTACTACGGATCATTTAACCCATTCATGTTAGCAGAGGATCATTGTAAATGTATTGTTGCAGGCACTCTATATGTACATGTACTATATACTACATATAGAGTGCACTGAACAATAGATTTACAATTATCCTCTGCTAATATGAATGGGTTAAATGATCCGTAGTACACTGCATTGTTGATTTAACTAATTCCAAGAATAAACTTAGTAATATTTCTGTAGGTGATTGTGGATGGTGACAACCGAGGTCATCTGGCAGTCTCCGGGTCCTAATTTAGGTGGCCGGAGACTGCCAGATGACCTCGGTTGTCACCATCCACAATCACCTACAGAAATATTACTAAGTTTATTCTTGGAATTAGTTAAATCAACAATGCAGTGTACTACGGATCATTTAACCCATTCATGTTAGCAGAGGATCATTGTAAATGTATTGTTGCAGGCACTCTATATGTACATGTACTATATACTACATATAGAGTGCACTGAACAATAGATTTACAATTATCCTCTGCTAATATGAATGGGTTAAATGATCCGTAGTACACTGCATTGTTGATTTAACTAATTCCAAGAATAAACTTAGTAATATTTCTGTAGGTGATTGTGGATGGTGACAACCGAGGTCATCTGGCAGTCTCCGGGTCCTAATTTAGGTGGCCGGAGACTGCCAGATGACCTCGGTTGTCACCATCCACAATCACCTACAGAAATATTACTAAGTTTATTCTTGGAATTAGTTAAATCAACAATGCAGTGTACTACGGATCATTTAACCCATTCATGTTAGCAGAGGATCATTGTAAATGTATTGTTGCAGGCACTCTATATGTACATGTACTATATACTACATATAGAGTGCACTGAACAATAGATTTACAATTATCCTCTGCTAATATGAATGGGTTAAATGATCCGTAGTACACTGCATTGTTGATTTAACTAATTCCAAGAATAAACTTAGTAATATTTCTGTAGGTGATTGTGGATGGTGACAACCGAGGTCATCTGGCAGTCTCCGGGTCCTAATTTAGGTGGCCGGAGACTGCCAGATGACCTCGGTTGTCACCATCCACAATCACCTACAGAAATATTACTAAGTTTATTCTTGGAATTAGTTAAATCAACAATGCAGTGTACTACGGATCATTTAACCCATTCATGTTAGCAGAGGATCATTGTAAATGTATTGTTGCAGGCACTCTATATGTACATGTACTATATACTACATATAGAGTGCACTGAACAATAGATTTACAATTATCCTCTGCTAATATGAATGGGTTAAATGATCCGTAGTACACTGCATTGTTGATTTAACTAATTCCAAGAATAAACTTAGTAATATTTCTGTAGGTGATTGTGGATGGTGACAACCGAGGTCATCTGGCAGTCTCCGGCCACCTAAATTAGGACCCGGAGACTGCCAGATGACCTCGGTTGTCACCATCCACAATCACCTACAGAAATATTACTAAGTTTATTCTTGGAATTAGTTAAATCAACAATGCAGGAGTAATATGTGTCATTATTACGTTATGCAAATAGTGCCATAAAATATTCAATAATAACTCTCAGTATTTGATTTTCCTCTTCACAGGATGCTTGTGAGAAACTTCTTAAACGACTTGAACCCATTACCAGCAAAAATCCTTCAGGTTCTTGGGAAAGTTGGGTAGGTGGATTTTTGCAGAAATTGTAGGCACAATATGTTAATGGAATGCATATATGTAAGCTGCTACCTTGATGATTTGCAGTTCTGCTCAGCTAGTCTTGCAATCCAGACACCACTAGCAGAAAGCACTTCCAGGTCTTCAACAAACCGCATACTCCTGCAGTTATGCACTAGCCAGTTACTAGACAATTAAGGTGAAGCAATATAGATGATGTTATTCTGAGGCTCATCCATCCTGCAAGCTTGTTTACATTGTTAGACTGACAGAAATATGCAACGCAAAAGAGCCTTAACTGTCTCAGAGAGCTATCCCTCCTCCAAACCAATGAAGTGCTGTAAAGGGGATAATATAAGATTAATACTATAACAGGTTCACATACATGTTATGCCAGTTATACACAAAACATATTTATGTATTGATTTACATAAATACTACACTGGATTAAATAGCATTTTCTTAAATCTGCCTCAGGTTTAGTTTTAAATCGAACCTGCGCTTTGTCCATGCACGGCAAATCAACAGGTTAGCTTTAATGCAGCTCTTCAAAGTAGCACATGCTAACCTCCCTGTCGCTCCCATGGCCGCTTCATTCAACCACCAAGAGCAAAGAAAAGCCAACTCCTGGTGCTGAACCCAGTAGGGGGGTGTAAAGGAAAGGTATGTATATGCTGAGGAGGGGAAGGGAATTAATATAACCCTGCTGCTTTCCCCCCGAATGGGCAAAGCAGTTGGGGCCTATTTAGGCCTAGTGTATATGGGCATATTAGATGCATTGGACAAGCATTTGCCAGGCATTTACCATGCATTTGTCTTGCATTTTTGTGTATTTGTCATGCATTCAATATTACTTGTAAGGAAAATCTAAAGCTGTCCAAACACTGGTAGTGAAGTCATGGGGCTGAATTAGAAAAAACACTCTTGATTCCCCTATCCATGCAGTTAGCCCCCTCCAGGCTATTGTATTCTGACCACAGCGTGTCTACCGCTGTCAGAATACCCAACCAGTGACTACAGTTGCCTGTTTGCAGCTGGTTGGAGCCACACAGTGGTCAAAATTCAACTAGTGTATGGCCAGCAAAGAGCAAACTGAGCTATAAAAAGCAAAAACATCTATGCAAGCAGAGTCAATGTACAAAGTACAGAAGTCCAAAATTCCTGTGTCAGTGATGTGACCACACTAAAGCCAAATCTCTCGGAGTTGAGAGCTGTACTTTATCTTTGCACTTTGTACAGCTTTACAAATTTAGCCTCACAATGCATTTTCTGTAACAGGTAAAAGAAGCTCTTTTTCAAAGAATAAGCCTTTCTGCCACGGGATTTTTCAGGTAAAGTACTATAATAATGTATAGTTTAAGATAAAGATTATTCACGTAACTTGCGAATTACATACAAGATGGAAAGGCCAATTCTACCCAAGACCGGTATTTCAGATTTGCATGGAAACTCCAACAATTTCAAACAGTCAACATTACTGTAATGGTATAAAAGGAAAAGATGCACAGAAATCCGAGAATATGAGTGAACAAAGTCCAAAGTTCAACAGTCAATAAGAAACATAACAAAATGAAATAGATCAGCAAGTAAGTGAATCATCAAAGAGAAAAAGAAACTGTGCCCCAACCCAACCTCAAGAGATCCCACAACTGGGCTCAGGGGGACATGCCAGAGGTGGGTGGGCATGGTTGACAGTGCAGATATTATCTGGCACAGGTAGCAATAAAAAAACAAAGAAAGGATTAAAGTACATAAGAGAAATGTAGGAAAGAGAAGCGGAGAGAGAGAAGGAAAAAGAGAAAGGGCTGTGCAGGGGACGGCACTGGCCCACAGTCTCCCATACTTTACAGAACCATCAGAGTGAAAGTAAAGTGAGGTCTAAATCCAAAGGATGGACATACTCCAGCCAGGGAGCCCTTATATTCATAAAGGTAGAATAGGAGTCATTCAGGACAGCCGTGGGTTTCTCATGCACCATTATACCTATGACCCTTTGTTTGACCTCCAAGAAGTTCAGGGTAAGTTGTTTCCCCGCCTTAGCTATAGTCTGGCAGGTGCCTGAGAAAATAAAGGTTGCTAATTTCCTACCCCACTCTATATTTTTTAATATATTCGAATAACCAACAGGGGAAGCTGTTTCTGGCTTTGTAACAGCTACAGCAATTGTTAAAAAAACAACAGTTTTTAGGGTTACTGCACCCCATACACAAAAGAAGAACCATTTTCCATCATGTTGAAAAGTTTTTTTGCTCTAACAATGATTCAGGTTTTCATTGCACAGAATCCGTTCTTTTCAACTCTCACCCCATATGGCCATCAGTATTACTGTAAGTGTCCACAACACAAAGATCACTCCACTCACAGCCAGTTTAAGAAGTCTGCACTGAGCTATTGTATAAACATACATCTTCATAAATATTTAATGAAGAGTGAATGTTTTCACAATGATGGACAATGATTCTGTCGCATGCCTTGGTAAGAGCCTGATATGATGTGGGAGGCCTCTCTTGCAGCTCTTGTCTGAACACCCCTGATGGTGGTGGACAGTGGGTGTGAGGATGGAAGAGTGCCTGGTAGAGATGCAGATGGTAGGTCCTAGAGGATAATACTGGCAGCAGGTGAATAGGCACAGGTGCGGGAGAAGAATTGTAGTCAGGAGCTAGCCAGGTCAGAATTGGGCAGACAGTGAAGTGCAGAGCTCTTCCTTGAATAGGCTGTCTGACGCCAATGTCCGAAATAGGTCAATGTGCATAGACATGAACATGCCTGCTCACAAATGTGCGCGTTGTGCAAACATGCGCACACCAAAAGGTCACTTACAAACAATCGTTCCCGTATGCGTGCATTTCCGTGCTAATGTGTGCTTCTGTGCCAATGCACGTTTCTGTGCTAATGCTCATTTCCAGGCTCAGACTGGACTTCTGGTAGCTCTCTTACAGATTCCCATCTATGCAAGACTGTGGTGTTATAATGATGTAGGTTAAAATGTATGCAAACACTAGCAAAGAACTTTTATTTGCTCCATTTTGGTCTCTTCATTATACCGTTGGAAGCATTGTATTATATCTGTTTGATAAGTGCAAGCAAAAAAAACTGTTGATCATGTCAACAATTTAGAGCTCTTCTGTGTCCTCTTTTTGTGTTATCTCAAAGAGCCCTCCTAGTTCTTATCTTGGATTACAGGATCACGAGCCTTTATGTTGGGGAGATCTGAAAGTTGGAGTGGTTAAGTAGTTTAGCAAACGACACTGGTCAGAGCTGACAACACTCAGTCCACAAAACTGCTGTGTGTTATCATGTAACAACAGGCTTAAAGTGTTACTAAACCCTCAATGTAAAATGTGGTATATAGCAGCATGCTATAAGACTCACCCTGTTTGCTCTTTGCTTTCTCCGTGTAGTCTGTAATTTCTCAGCAATCTTCATTTCCAGTCTCTGTGCACTCCCTTAGTGTCTTGAGGGTGGCTCTACTGCCTAGAAGGGTCTAAACGAGCCACCCTTACATGCACACCCTATACAGTATTTTAAGAAGTAATGGATGCTGTAGGTTGTCCTTATGTAAGAGAATGCTTTTAAATAAAAAACAAAGAGGGTTTAATGCTACTTTAAAGAAAAAGTATAACCTTGTATTATTTTTCACAGTTCCGTTCATTCCCAATACTTTTTCCACTTTTTATGTCCTGATGTTAAAGCATCATTGCATCAAAAAGTCATCCAGAATGGCTTGAAACAAAAATGAACCTATATGTTATATTATATGACACTGATATATCCAGGTATTTGTTTTAATAACTGAAGTAACAATTGTATGTCTGACAATTCTGTGCCTCCTGTTGGGATCCTCAGCATAAAACTATTCCAAGAGTAGATACAAGGAGATATATGGGGGTTGATTTACTAAAGGCAAATAGGCTGTTCACCTTGCAAGGAAATTTGCACTTTGCAAAGGAAGCTTTCCTTAGCTTATTGAAAAAAGGTGAAACTCTGCTGACTTACATCACTCAATCGTGCAAGTAAACATACAATTTTTTTTTATATTTGTCCTACCTGATTGGGTAAAATGTCACCACATTCACCAAGATAAGAGCAAATCCAACTGCAAATTGACCAGCCTTTTTGCCTTTAATAAATCAACTCCAAAGACTAATTTTTTCTCAGCACTCTTTGGATTTGCACTGTCAGACCTGTGTTCATACTATTTAATTTGCTGTTTATGCTTATGCAGGGGATATGAAACCTATATGGACTGGGAGAAAGGGGAGGGTCGGCCATTTGAATATTGTGTTTATGGGGCTGCCTGTTCGGAGGTGGAAGTGGACTGCCTAACGGGAGATTATAAGGTAAGTCACTAAACCTAACATTATATATTGCAAAGCACAATTGAAGGCATGCAGGTTCCCAGGGACAAGCCTGTTTTTTTTCTAACTCTCAGCAAATGAGTCAGCGATACAGGTAAGGAAAAGTGAGATATGACAAGCAAGGGCTGAGTGATGGGTAACTGGAGATAAAGTGATGTGTAGTTAATTACTAAGCAGTATAATTAAACCATTCAAAAGTGACAGCATATATACTGTCAGTGCAGGATTTGATTATTCTCTTTAAATGTATTTCCTGTATCATGTTTCACAAATTCTAATATAAACTTTGTTTCTGGACAGAACATCAGAACAGACATTATAATGGACACCGGTTGTAGCATTAACCCAGCTGTGGATGTAGGACAGGTACTGTATGTTGCATTTGAATGTGGAAGGAAAAAAAGCACACTTACAGTGTTCCTCAACAGACCTTCAAGTCAGAGTGCGGACCTGCTCTCCAGCATCCAGCAAGCCAGTGTAGGCACCTCAGTGACCAGCACAGAGAGGCCTGCTTTGTATTATATGATATTGGAGAGATGGGCCTAAACTCTGACATGGGGCAAGGCCTATGAACAACCTGTGCTAAGTTTTGGTGGATTCCTAATAAAATATATTCCTAATAAAAGTAGTTGCACAGTATTAAGCTTTTCAGATCCCTGGAATGGCAGTCTGGAACATTTGTAGTCTCAGTAGTACTGATTACTGCCTGAAAAAGCAAATTTATATTCTTTCTCCTGCTGAGTTAGACCTTCTTTCAATGCTGTCTGTGCTCCCATTGGGGAGTTTCACCCTTCTATTTGTACTAGTTATGGTTGTCACCGAGAAAAAGAGATGGTAAATCTAAAATGTTAATGTTTTCCCTAGAGCAAGAGGTAAGGGGAAATCTTCCAATGGGTACACCTGTTCCAGTTACAATTGTCTAAGGGGGGAATTTCCTCTAACTTCCTGTTCTGTCTTTGGAAAAGGAAGCGAAGAGAAATGACCCAAATTGTACACAGAGAGCAAAAAAAATAAATATGGACAAGGGTTTTAACCCTCCCCTACTCTATCCAAAACTAAATAAAAAGTTTGGTCTATACATACACTCTAAGAAGAGAAAACAGAGGGGGCGCCTTTCTTGGTGCAGGTCAATTTTAATTTCAATGATCATATAAAAACAGAAAGGTACTCACAAACATAAGTAAAAAAACAGCCATGGAGTGAAAGCTGGCAAGCAGATGGACATCCACTGGGGGGTTCCTGTGTGCGAGTGACGTTAGCGCGTTTCCGGGGCAGGCCCCCTTCATCAGAACCAAAAACTGGAACCTGTTAAACAGCACTGCCATTCAACTTCTAATCATATATATTTTCTATGTTCACTCTTAGATTGAAGGAGCATTTGTACAAGGTATTGGGCTCTATACAACAGAGGAACTAAAATACTCTCCAGCTGGTGCTCTGTTAGCATATGGACCAGGAGAATACAAGATCCCTTCTGTATATGACATTCCTAGAGAGTTCAATGTGTCACTGCTTCCTTCATCTCAGAACCCAAACGTTATCTACTCCTCCAAGGTAACACCCAAAACAATATCTATCTACATAGCATAGTAACATATTATAGTTTATAACCTAGATGTGTATGGTTTGCTGTTAGAAAATTGGGAGATATTTGGCCAACAACAGTCATTATGATCAGGGAGCTCTTCTTTTGGACACATTTATACAAGAATCCTGTAAGGCTTCCAGTAAATCCAGACATGAACATACAGTATATATTGAATTGCTTATGGTGACCAAAGTGACTTACAGCCATCTAGTTTTCTAGTTTATCCTTGCATCAAAAATGTCTGCAAACAATAGTACAAGGTTAGATGGTTATTGTGACGGACTCCCTGATACCCCGACTGGATATCTCCGGCTTAAGGCTGTTCCCTGGGTGCTGGAACCAGAAACCAGTGAATATAGCATGGGCTTACCCCAAGAATCAGACAACACTGACTTTGGAGTGGAAACATGAACCTAATGAATGCCCTTAATTAGATAAGAGCTTGATCCCATCATCCCAAACAATGGCCCCCTCCAGACAGCCTGCTGTCTTCACAAAATTATGTTTAGCAGAGATGGTATCCAAACAAGATGGAAGTCCGGATGGTTCAAATCAAGTCAAATAGTGAAAAGCTCTCCCTCTAGATAAAATATTAAACAGGAAAACACACACAGCAAACAAAGTTCTCCGGGGTAATAACTCTCTGCAGCCCTAGGTCCGTCACAGTTATACGTGTTGACTTGGATCGCATATATCTATTTTTTTCCATTAAAATCTTTGTCACAATATGGCCCTAGTGGAGGCTTCTCCTTACTTTAAAATTATGTCTTTAGCATGATAAACTGTTCCAGTCCTTTATTTTATATAATATATATTTATACTCAGATGTTTTATATACAATTACTGTAACTGCACTTTTTTACTTATGTATAACTGAGTTCAATAAACAGTTTAAAAATTCACTGCTTCATCCCTTTCTCTAGATGATTAATTCCCCAACATTCTTTCAATAGTTCAAAATGCCTAGCACTGCTCATAAGTCAGTATTTAGCAAATCACATGGCCTCTGACCACCAGGACAGGTTGTTAGATAGCTAGGGAAATTTCCCTCCACCACCTAGCATGGTTTCCTTTTGCTGGAATTTTCCCATTGGCATCAGAAAATCTGCTTTTCTTTTTTGACACGTTCAGTTTGGCCACCCAGATTCAGTCCTTTCCAGGCTTTGATGTTATAAAATATAAAATAGCATTAATCTATGTATTTTGTGTAACAAAGTTATGTGAGTTATATATTTCTTGTGGCTAATGTCTTCCTTCATACTGACATGAGATAATACACTGTGGATTAACTGGAATAGTACCATTTTAACTTTATCCCTCAAATATTGTTCCCTGGATCATTGTACACTGCTCCATGATAATGGAAATTGATGTCATTTCCTGACTTACCATGAGTCTGTGGGATCTATTTTTAACCAATTTTTTATTTATCCTGCAAAACTCTGTAAATGTTCATGTGCGAACGGAGGCAAATACAAGTATATTAGTGTTTCCGATCTGTATATCTAAAAAAGTACCCCGTTATAGCCACTAGATGGAGCTGAGGAGCATAGGGAATCAATACTTCTTTCCTATGCTTCTAAGTAACATCTGGTGGTTGTAATGAGTTCTTTTCCAGATATTACATTCAATAATCTACTAAGAATCGTCATTTTTGGCTACATTCACAGAGATTGGTAGGATGAATGGCTTAGTGAATTGTTTATAATTACGCCACTATGAGTGTGCTTTTATCCATGAAACAGGGAATCATAAATAGGCACTGGCAGCAGTTGCCACAGCTTAAACTTTACTCCCAGCTGATTGCTTTCTTCTCATGAGAATGATAAAGAAACAACTGGAGTAGTGAAAAAAAAAACAGAAAGCAATCGGTCCTGTTAAGATCAGTTCAGTTAAAATTCAACCGTTGACCAGTCTAGAGAATAAGCATATAGCTTTGACCTCTCCAGTAGGGCCTTACTTACATGTAACAGGTTTCTTACATTTCAAAGCACACAATCCTGTGCTTTCACAGTATGTATTTGTATAAAGATAATCCTATTTATTTCCCATCCCCCTACCTTCAAACTGCCCCCCTCCCCAGCCTTCTGTTTTGGTTTGGTTCCATGATGAAAGGTCCAAAATGGTTCCAAAATGAAAGGTCTGCTTTATTGATGGCACCCCAGCCTTCAAATACAAATGGCTTAAAAAAGCAATTGAAAAATAGTTTTGACAAAACTACATTGCAGGAGTGCATTCTCCCATGATTTCGAGTGCCCAGCTCTCCAGGGAGGCACATGATGTCACCCACTCCTCCTAAGGATGCCAAAACCAAAGTAAGTTTTTAAAAATTGTTTCTGTACACTTTTCTAAATCATTTTTTGAAGCCACTTGTATTTGGAAGGCTGGGGGCCGTCAGTAAAGTAGGCCTCCTATTTTCATGAAAGGTCCACCTTAAAATGACACAAAACTCAGGAGTTAAACCTTAAACCTGCATTCAAGTACCTTAACTGTTAACAAACATGTATGTTATTTGTGTATCACTCAGCTGTAGATCCTCAAATCATCTCTGAATTGGTGCTGACACTGTCCTTCCTTCTGGAGGGTGGCTACTTTTGTTCCCCATGGCCCGTTAGTGTTGTAAAGCTCCAAGCTCGCTCTCGTGATGGACTACAATCTCAATACAAATTAGTAATCTAAACATGAGATTGTAGTCCATCATGAGAGTGAGCTTGGAGGAGTGGCTACTTTACAACACACACAGGGACCATAGGGTAAAAAGGTAGCCCCCCTCCAGAAGGAAGGACAGTGTCAGCATGAATTCAGAGATGATTTGAGGATCTACAGCTGAGTGATACACAAATAAGATAAATTTTTGTTACTAGTTAAGGTATTCGAATGGAGGTTTAACTCCTGAGTTTAGTGTCACTTTAAATACGTTAGGACTAGGGATGCACCGATATACCGGCCGAAAATGGCACTTTTGGCATAATGCCGAAAGTGCCATTTTCCTGCCGATACATCGGCGCATCCCTGCTTTCTTTCCTCCCCGCTGGGCGCTGCTCTGTGTCCCAGCGGGGAGGACAGAAGCTGTGATAGCCGGCCGAGCCCTGCGGGAGGAGAGCGCTGTGAGCGGCCGGGGGCACCTCCCACACCGATCACCCTCCTATCGCAGTCCGGCAGAGCGGTGTGTGGGCGGAGATTGGCTGCGCTGCCACAGGAGCCTGAGCTCTCCTCCCTACACCGCTCAATCAGCCTCCTGTGACAGTGTGTCAGAGAGGAGAACGAGAGCAAACACTCAGCGATCAGTCCTAA